GTCACGGAGGGCCCTGCACACCAAGCTGGGATCAGTTAAAGACACATTGAGGCAAAGTTTCTGCACAGCCAGTAAAGCAGCCAAAGGGCTTTAATTGCCTTATTCCACATATGTTAATGTATGAAGCATCATTAGGTACTGTGGAAGAATAAATATATCCTATCATGGCACAAAGACAAGACATTCTTGAAAATTATGACTCAGTAACAAGCTGATATTATTTCTCCGTCTCAATCAGTGCCACAATTGTTTTTCTGCTCTTTGCTTCCCAGCTCTCAGAGCAGTAACTTTTCCCCACAACACTGTAACTGAGAACACCAGCCTGATACTGACTGCTCTTCATTAGCATCCATTTAAATGAGAGAGGGAGAAGGAGAGACGGGTATTTGTTCCGGGGATTATGAGCAGTAATAGATTCTTTCTGGGGACTTTCATTCGTTTCTGGGATTTGCCTGCACTAAGCTTTGGGCTTGTAGTTTGTGATCAGTGGTGTTACACTAAACCACACTTAAGGAAGTGCTCAAAATCCCTGTAAGAAAGATAAGAGCTCTTTTCTCCTTGGCCTGGCTTTAGCCCTGACATTAGGTCTGCAAATGACTCTGTCAGGCTATATAAGGTCTGAGTTGTCTCTGCCTTGGGCACTTCCTGCCACAAATCAGCTTCTTCTCATCTCGATTTATCCTGCTTACAGCTGTGATGCTCTGAGGACTCTCTGCTCTGGATTCCCCTCTCTGGCTGGCCTCAGCTGGGTGCCAAACCCAAACCGTTGCACCAGCCAGACCTCCATAGGTAGCTGATCCCCTGGGATAACCCCATCCCACAGCAGGAACACTGTAGGAAGGCAGCAGGGAGCCATGGTGGGATCACCCTGAGCCTGCAGCCACCCCAACTCCCAGCTGTGAATCCTGGCAGCCTTTCCAGTGCTCACAGAGCTCTGCCGTGCCTGGCACAGCACGCTGTCTCCTGGTGCTCGGCTTTGTCCTCCCTTCGCTTTCTGGCTGTTCTCTTCCTGGCTTCCACCCAGAATGAGCTGTGTGCCCACCCCTGCACACAGTAGCTTGTACCCATTCCACTTTCCCCCTCCCAGCTGCCCTGCAGAGAGCCCTTGAAGGGTGCTCTGCCATCCCACCTGGACTGTGCCCATGGTGTTACCTTTGCAGACCCTGCTTCCCTCCCAGTGCTGCCTGTGCTGGTTCCTCTGGATCCACGCTGCTTTTCAGCATGACAGTGAAATCTCCATCCCACAGAAAATGAGAGGAGACCTTTTCTTCTCGTGAGAAGGTAACATTTAAAGGCATCCCTTGGGCTACTCTATCTGGCAGCCCAGCTGGTGCTCTTTTGTGTGAGTGCCACTCTTGAAATGCCAGCTTTGGTCTTAAAGGCAGTCAGCAGAAGGCAGGGCTCGCTCCCACTGTAATTGATTCCTCACTGGCCTTTATTCTCTCTTTTGTTTGGAAAGAAGGAATAATACAGATTGCAAGAGAAATGTGAATATAGTCTTGTTTGGGGAGAGGTAACAATAGGATTGTCAGTGTCCTGGAATTTTTCTTGTGTTTGTCTGTCTCTGGTCAGCTGGAGAGATTCAGCAGCAGATACGTGGCCTGCCTTTGTGTGTGCCTCGCCACCAGGTGCCATTAGGAAATGCCAGACACATCTGATGGAGGAGATGGGGAAAGAGCATTGACTAAACAAATAGGTAACAAAACTGCCAGCTGGCTTCAGACTCTGACACCAGAAACTGGGCGTGATAGTAGTACAAAACCAGATGGAGCTGAAGCTTCATCCATATTTAGTTTGAAGAGCTGACATCTTTGCCGTGCCTCCCAGAAGCATGTTCTCAATGGTGACGTTCCTAGAGAAAGAGGGTTTTGTGGTCCTTCCCCAGCCTTGGAGAGGCTTTGTAACTTAGGTGGGATTGCATGCAGGTTGTGAGGAGCAGATCTGACCCTCCTTTGCAACTCTGATTTGTAAGGCAGTCGTGGACACGTTGCTTGGCTGTTTTGACCCTCAGTTTTCCAGGTGTAGACAGGTATGGTGAAACATGGCATGTTGTGGGCAGACAAGGAAGCTTCCTTTCCAATTTCAAACTGCTTGAAGAACACCTGCTTGTGTTCAGTATTGTTCTGCTGGAGACTTTGGGGGCCAAAAGGTTGAATGCTTCAAGGACAGCAGGCTGTCAGCGAGGACACGCTTAGGCTCAGTTTCGGTTCAGGCCAGGTATTCACAGCCAGTGCTTTGGGGGCACTAACTTGCATTCCGGATGCTTTTATGAGTACCTTTCTATCTCACCGTCTCTTTTATCCTGCAGCACAGCAGAGTTCATTTGCTGCTTGATTTGTCTCAATGCTGGCTGCTCAGCCAGGCTCTGGTGTAGTAGATCCTAGCTGCCATCCCTGAGTGAGGCTGGAATGGACAGCAGTTGACTTTAATCCTTGCTTGCTGGCAGCTCCATATCAGTACTTAATTTAGTCTCAGTCCCTCAACTCACCAGCTCTGACTGCTGTAATTAGCTGCTCTGAACACGCTCATGTTGACATTGATCTATGGGGTTATGTAGATCCTGTGTGGGCAATCAGTTTGGCTAAGGGCTCCAGTGAGGACTAGGTATTCTTCCTAGTGAGGCTTCCCTCCTAAGTTGCTTCTGAGGTTAGGAGGGCACCAAGAAGCCAGAGGCTCAAAACTGGTTTTTCCAGAGGCTCCCATGCTGACCCGTGTTGCCAGGAGGGAGATCCCACTTGCTTACTTCTGCCTGAGGTTGTGCAGTGGCAGCTGATCAAAAGAGGAACAAAGTCACCTTACTCCTCATTCGAAGTGGGAGACTCAGAACCACTGGGGAAGTAGTTTGATATATTCGATATCCTAATATTTCCAGACAGAAAAATGTTTTCCCATCCTTCTCTTATTCATTTTTGAATGTCAAGAATTTGAAGGGAGGTATTAGCTCTGCAGGCTGGCCAGAATGCATCCCAGGTGGTGGGATGTCTCCCTCCCTTCCTGCTGTCTTGCCCTCTCCCTGTTAGGTCGGGTGTTCATCTATTTATCTCAGCCAGCCTTAATGCTAGTGCTTCTGAATATTTCCAGTCAATAACCATGCCTGTCTTTTCTCAGTTCACTAAATTATACACATACTTCATTCTTTTAACCTTTTCTTGTAAGTCAGCCACTCAGAATCTAAACATTTCATCATCTTTATTATGCATCTCTGAACTCCTTGTGATGTATCTTGCTCTCTGTCAGCAAGGCACTCAGCAGGAGTACTTCCAGGTCCCTGTCCTTCATACAGTACCCCTAGGGCTGACATGCCAAGAAGGATTTCAGGATACTGTATAGGAAGGAGGTATATAAGAAAGTCTCTCTTCCTATCGCTTTCCCTGAGCTCTCATTGCTCCCAGAAAGCCATACCCAGGCAAGAAGGCAGCATCCCAAGTGCAGATAGACTATGGACATTTAAGTAAGGGTTGTTACTGCCTCTCTGCTCTCAGGGGTAATATGTCTGCGTATCAGAGACACTGATGAGCAAGAGAGTGACTAGAGTCCCCATTGATTTTTTGGTTCATCAGCTGAATTGAAAAAAAGAAAGTGTTTCAGTTCAGCCCTGAATGAATGTTTAAAAAAGTGTTTTTATTGAAACAAAAAAGGGGAAAAAAAAAAGTCAATTAGGGAGGATTACTAAAAAGATACAGTAGGTTGACAGTTTTATTTGTGGGTAGAGGGGGGATGTGACACTTTTCAAAGTGAAAACTGGAAATGTTTTCATATATGTTGGCTTTGTTTTTGTTTTAGTGGCAGACAGAACCTTTTGGGAATTGTTTGATAGAAAGGGCTTAAAGCCAGTGCTGATTCAGAGTGTTTGTGTCCCTCTGAAAATGTGGGAGCAGGCATGAGAGGCAGTGCTACGGAACATCAGAAAAGCACATTTGTGTGCTTCAGGGCAAGTAAGTAATCAGGACAAGTGGCTGCTGAGGACACAGGTGATATTTCTAAGGGCCAGGATCAGGAAAAACTGTAGACTAAATATGCCAGGTGACAGCAGTGGAAGAGGAGAGGGGAATGTGTGTCCTAGGACTCTCAGTTCAAGTGGGATATGGACCAACTGGTGTGGATCCAACACACAGTCATCAGGATAGAACAGGAGCAGAAATGTTAGGGAAGAGAGGTTGAGGAAGCTGGGCTTGCTCCATCAGGCAAAGAGGAGGCTGCTGTCAGCCCTTGACCACTAACTGTTTGAAAGGCAATTACAAAGGTCACAAACCCAAACTCTTTTCATAGAATCATAGAATGGCCTGGTTTGAAAAGGACCACAATGATCATGTGGTTTCAACCCCCCTGCTATGTGCAGGGTCACCAACCACCAGACCAGGCTCCCCAGAGCCACATCCAGCCTGACCTTGAATGCCTCCAGGGATGGGGCATCCACAGCCTCCTTGTGCAACCTGTTCCAGTGTGTCACCACCCTCTATGTGAAAATCTTCCTCCTAATATCTAACTTAAATCTCCCTTGTCTCAGTTTAAAACCATCCCCCTTTGTCCTTTCACCATCAACCCATGTAAACAGTCATTCCCCCTCCTGTTTATACGCTCCCTTCAAGTACTGGAAGGATCCGTAGTATTACACAGTATAACAGGGAACAGCAGCCTCCAATGGCATCACTGAAGGTCTGTGCTGGACTTGGCCAGACAAAGCCATGCTGTCTTGCTCTAGAACTGCAAACAGCTTCAGGCAAGAGGTTGGACAGGACGCCTGTTTAGTTTCCTTGCAACTAGCCTATCTGCCACTCACTTCTTGTGTAAGGCCATACAGCTATGTTACGAACTGCTGCTTCTTAATTTCCTCTGTCTTCATCTGGGTACATATCCTTCTTTGAAGAGCCCAGGTAGATGAAATACTGCCAGTGAGACATGTTTGTCAACTCAGGAAAAGGAACTGTGCCAAGGGTCAGCCCAGCAGATTGGGTTTCCTGCATACCCCATGTCACCAGCACCCAATTTCTCTCCTACAGGCTCCTTGAATCTGCTGGTTCGCGTGCGGAACAAGCGGGCCATCGACACCCAGGTGTGGTCACTGAGTGGGAACAGGGGGAACATGTGGCAGCAAGCACATGTGCCCATCAACCCTCCTGGGCCCTTCCAGGTAAGTCAGGGCCACAGCCAAGGAGCTGCATACCAACCACCCCATCCATGTGCTGTGGGAGCTCTGCACCCCCATGGTCACTGAGGCAAGGCAAGAGCTTAGTGCAAGCACAGAGGTCACAAGTGACTTTGATTGCTGGATGCTTCTCAGAGCACGTTCTACAAGAGCCCACCCCCACTACCCTTCTGGTTTAGGACTGTAGGGTGGCTTGCAGATGTGAACTAGGCATGATGTATCTGCTTGATGGGCTATTTATGAATACCAGGAAGGTGTGTGGCTTTGTTATCAGATGTTTTACTGCAGGTGCTTTTGCCCAACAGGCTACTTGGCTGCTGTAGGGTTGTTTGTGAGATCTGGGGCTATGCAGGCTGGTACAATATGATACTGTGGCAAAATGCCCAGCATGCTTTTGGGTACTATAAAATAATAAATAAGGATTTAGTTACTCTTGCGAGTGCTGTTCAGTGTTGGTTTTGCTAGTGCAAAGTACTTAATAAAGCAGAACTCTACATGCTCATTTATTACACTGCAGACAGTACACAGAGGTTGATTCTCTACTCTGTGGGGCTCAGCACTCTAAATCCTATGTGTGCTGGAAAAACAGGGAGAAGTCATTCACAGGGGAACCTGGTAAGAGCTGGTTTGCTCCTTGCATGGGAAGAAAGCAGGTCCTCCACAGCTTCACTCTGGGCTCTGCCCCATGCTCTGATTGCAGATCATCTTCGAAGGCGTCCGGGGCACGAGCTATGAGGGAGACATTGCCATTGATGATGTCACTCTGAAAAAGGGGGACTGTCCAAGGAAGCCAATTGGACCGAATAAGGGTAAGAATGTGAATGCCCCAGAGGAAAATGAGCCAGCGGGAGCGCACATATGAATGGTGTGCTAGGGACGTTCCCCTAATTGCTGTGCACATTGATGTATTTATGGGGCTCGACAAAACGGGCTCCATCACTAGAAGTTAGGAGAGGGCCTGTCAGACTTTTAACTTGTTCTTTATAGTCATGAGTTAGCAAAAGCTCAGAGGAACAACTGGATACTGTAGGGGCTCTGCTGCCAAACACCAGTATGCTGAAGACCATGCCAAAGAACTGGTGTGGGGGCGTCACCTCCAGGCAGCTGAAAGCATTCCAGAAAATGAGAACTTCATTCTCACTGAGGTTGAAGCCACAGCAAGGTGCATGAACAGTATGCAAGTATTAAGTCTTTGAGTAGGAACCATTGGTTACTCAACCTGCCTTGTGCCTTAGTCCTGCTGTGCCCTGCCTGTGTCCTCGATAACCTGTCCAGGTGAGCAGGAGAAAAAAAATGGTTGAGAAAGTGTTCCTGTCAACAATTTTCATAATTCCAGTGGTGAAGGGGAAAACAAAACATCTAAATAGTCAAAATACCGTAATTTTTCAAATTTCCAATGTAGTTAAAGGTTCTCAGGTGGCCAAACTTTAACCAAACCACAAAGAGAACTTTTTCCATGGCTGAATTTGAATTATCTGAGGAAGAAAGGAAGGTTGAATTGCAAAAGCAACCAAGATTCAGCATTTTGGGCCTGGAAATGAAATAATCTGGTGAAAGCCTTGAAAATGTCCAGGGAGGAGTAGAAAGACCTTTCATTATATCTGGGATGTGCTTCGTGGTTTGGGTGTGAGGAGAGACAGTGACGCTGCTGTGCACTGACTTGTTTGATGAGATCTGCATCTTTCCCATCACTAATTCTCTCTCTCTCTCTCTCTCTCCTTGGCTGGCAGCGGTTGCTCTTCCAGGAAGTGGGGTTCCAGCCCAGCATGGCCCTTGTCTTTGTGGCCCATTGACTTTCTTCCTTTACATGCTGCTCAGATGATGGCAAGTGAGCACTCCTGTCTTCGGACCGAGACATTCCTGCTCCTTTCCTACTCAGCCACCTCTGCTCCTCTTCTTCCCCTCCTCACTGGCACACCAAAGTGTCCATATGTTACCAAAGACTGACAGGCATGACCACGCAAAGGGATCTGGTTCAGAACTGGAGCACTCCTTGAGAAAGTCATAATGTCTAAGACAAAATTAAAAAATAAAGACAATGTTTTTTAAAAAGCACGTGCACAAGAGAGTGAGAGAGAGAGGAAGGAAGGAAAGAAACAAAAGCGCAGGAAAGAAGGAATTAAAGAAAAAAAAAAAAGAAGGAAGAAATGTGAAAAGCAAATGAAGGAGGAAAAATCTACCCCTATATTTCCTTGGGAATGTCGGACAGGGCTTCCTCAGGGAAGTGGGAACTTGTTTTAAACGAACAAAGAAAAACATATTAAAGCACAAATTTCTACCAGAACAGTTACCTTCTTTACCACAGAGCCTGCAGCTTAGTGGACAGTATTTCACAGCCTTCTCTTCAGCCTGCCATGCTCTCCCACTGGCTGGGGCAGCCCTGCAGTGATGCAGCAGCTGCCCCACAGGCCAGTAACCAGAGCACCCTGCCTCGTCCGCATGTGCTTCAGTGTCTCCATCCATCCACCCTCCAGGCTCTCATGTATTTAATTGCCCCCTGTGCAGTTTGCTTTGGCCTGCGCTGCTGTCCTCTCCCCACCTTTTAGTGCTTCTCACCCACCAGCCTGAAGAAGACGGAGCAGGAATGGACCCAGGAATGGACCCATCCCTTGGATTCCACTGAATGGTGGAGGAGTCCCAACTGGATTCAGCTGCAGTGCAGGCCCCCACATGCCTCTTTCTCTCTTTCAGCAATTCTTGCTGGGTGGAGAAACTATGAGAGCAGATCTGAGCTGCAGGCAGAAAGGTCTCCCAGTGGGTTGGGGTGGGAAGGGGGGAGCAATTACACGTTGGCTTCTCGCTATTTTTGTTGGGATGAGAGCTGTCTCAGCCCTAAACCTAGCATTGCTTCTCTGTCTCTCTTGCATTATTTATTTATTCTAATATTTAACTCCATTGTTTAATTTCCCTCAGCTCGAGCTTTTTGAATGATGGAAAGAGTCAGGCATGTCAGCCTGATATTGCCACCTCACTTCTCAGGCCTTTAGCTGCAGAGAGGGGGAAATGTGGCACAGCACCGCTGCTCAAGGGAGAAGTGGCTGAATTCCATCAGTACGTGCAGCCTTGCAGACCCCAGGAGAAGGGTCTGCCTGCACTGGACAAGCAGGAGCCATGATATCTTTGCTGCAAATGGGAGCAGCAATGGGCATGACTTACCTCCCAGCACAGGGCAGAGTTAGCCCCACGTTACGGTGCACGGGGGGTTACTTTCTCCACTAGCCTCCTAGCTGAGTGGGACTCCTCCCCCTAGGGACTCCTCTCCCCATCTGAGCTCTGTATCTGGAGCACCACAGGTGTGCAGTGAGCACGTAACATAATGAATATATCAGCTTCACTGAGACAACTGTGTTTGTCCAAAATACCTGAATGTATTAGCTGCCTCTTGCCATTGCTCAGCTTCTGGAAACAGCTGATGCCTTCTTTCTCCAGTGATGGAGGGGGAAAGCTTTTATTTAACACCCAAGAGATCCAGTTTGAATTCCTGAACACCAGCTCTCTTTGCTCCTTGGTGGGAGTTCTGCATTAAAACTCCCAGCCAGCATCAGAGAGACATCAGCTCTGAGGGACGAGGGGCCTCCTCCGTACAGACCCTTACAAGACAAGAGAAAGGGGATGAAGAAGCTCTCCCTTGTTTCTGTGGCTTTTCTCCACTTTCCAGAAAGAGCCCTATCAGTCTTCTGTCTCTGCAAGGTCTTTCTTCCTCTTCAGAGTGTGGACCTTGATCACACTGCCTATTCGACAGCTGTTTCGCTGGGCCAGGCAGTGCTGTGGGATGTTGTGGGAGCTTGGAGCAATTCTGCTTCTTGCTGTCTGTTGCCATTTTGACAGACAGTGCCCTCAGCATGTTTGAACTACACTCTTTCAGTCCAATGGTCTGTTCTTCTTTTTGCCTATATTTGTTGGAGGATAGCAGTCATCACCCTCATAAGAATCTGCTTTCAGTCCTAGCAGAGAGGTGATGCTTTCCAGGAACCCTTGGGCGCTACCTGGTGTCTCCTGACCTGTTAGCAGTCTTATCTTGCTGACTCCAGGGGCCTTCCACTGGGCAGAGTAGGAAATAGGAGCATTTTCCTATCAGGAAGACATAGCCCAGGGCAGTCATCTCACCTTCTTCTGGGCTTTGAGGCAGGGATCCTCATGGCCTTGCTTTCCACGGGCTGCTCAGGTCTGTGGGAGGAGGTTGCACAAATGCATTTTGCTGATGTTCACTGGGCAGCAGGGCTGCTGAGGGGTTGGGGAGGTGGAGCCCAAGAATCCAGACCCACGGACAGAGCAACATCTGCAGGGTAAGTGTCTGTGCCCTGCTGCCAGCCCTGAGCCCACCAGGAGGAATGTAAGTGCCTCACAAGCCGACCCAGGGCTCAGGAAGCCCATCCGCAGCCATGGGCTCAGGGCAGAGCAAGCAGTCAGCAGTGAGGCTTTGTCCTCCTTGCTGTCAGGCGCCCACGTGCCACTTTGTTGGCCCTGCAACTCTGGTAAAAGTCTCAGGGAGCCCCTTCCAGCCTAGAGCTCTGCTCCTTTATCTCTGGCTTGAACACGGCTGGCGGTGAGTCTGGTGGAAAGCCCTTAACACAAGTGCCTCAGCTCGTCAGAAGCACCAAGGGTCTCATTCCCCTGACAGGTGTGCAGGGGGAGCATGGCAGAGGGAAGAGGCACTTCAGCAGTGAGGAGCTGTGCAGTGATGGAAGCTGCTGTCCGTGTGTGTGTGTGTGCATGTGTACACGCAGTGGTGGACAAGAGGCTCTGTCCCCCTTCCCAAGAGCAGCAGCGTTTGGGGTTTGCTGCCCCATCCCTGTGCTTGAGGGGGCAGTTCTCCTTGAAGAGGTAATGCATCCCAGGTGAGATGTAAAGCCATGCTCCTCAGCCCTTGCAATTAAAGACCCCCTCACACTTTTCACAGCGTTCTGGCTAAATTACTGTCCTTAAACTTAATTACAGACTGTCGTCTTAAATATCTGTTGCAGTCCCAACCTGGTATATTATGTTTCCCTTCTTGATGTTTTATGTTGCTCCATGCTTATCGAGTAGCTGCTTTATTCCACTCCAGAAGTGGCTGCATTTCAGTGATGGTGGAGATTATTCTGTACATAGAATGAAAATCCCTGCAGAAGAAAAGTGCAATATAAATTTAAGAGACTGCTTTTATTTACAAGGAGACCTCTGCTTGGTAGTTGTAGAAATACATTAGGAAGAATGCTGTGTGGGTGTTAGCCGATATATACTCAATTTCTTCTTCTTTTTTTTTTTTTTTTTTTCCAGGGTATAAAACAGAAAATATGTGAGTGTGCAGGCTCCTGGGTATAAGCTGTAGATATTAGAAGCAGTGACTGCTACTGTGTAGTTACAAGTGGGGCTTACAAAGAAACTTTCATTTGAAACCTCTTTTTGTAGTTGTTCACTGTATTCTGAAAAAAAATATATACATTTTTGTATTATAATTTTCCACGTTTGGATGAAAGTCCCACTAATAGGACATCAACAGGACATTAATCCATAGCTTTGAACAATACAAATGTCAATTCCTACCCCGGCTCTGAAAAGCAGCTCCTGGCTGGTAACAGTAATAGCCTGTTTTCCTCCATGTAGATCAGCCGCTGGAAAACGTCGGAGCTAATGTGTTTCATTTGATGTGAAGTTAAGTAATTTGGAATGCCTGAGCGCAGCTCTTCTCAGCCACACAGGAGTGAAAAATGTTTCATCTCTGTGACAAAACACAGTGCAGCGCACCAGCGGCTGGGGAGCTCCTGAGCTCCGTGGCTGGGAGCAGTACGGGTCTGCCCTGCACAGCATGCCACATGAGAGCAGCCCTAGCAGGAGCCCTGCTTCTGCAAGCAGTGCTGTTCTGGGAGAAGGTAGGGCAGCAATCAGGGGAAAAGTGGGGGGTTGGGAGAGGTCAAATGTTTAGGTGTTTCCTTCAAGGATAATTATGGATGTATGAATGAGCGTAGTAAACACCATACAAATTGTATTCTGCTCTCTGCTGCTGTTCAAAGCATGGAAATCTGATTTCTCTCTGTACAAAGTCCTGTGGGTACACTGCTTCAGAACAGCATGAAAATGCATCAGCTTCAGAGACAACCAGGGTGCTCCCTCTGCAGCCTGCCTGTACCACTCCTCACCAGGAGAACTACCTTCTGTTGGCATCTTTGTGCATTGCAGCTGGGCAAGGATGGTCACCAGGAGCAGGCGGCAGTGCTGCTGGGAGAAGCACTGTTCCACCACACCTTCACAGAGGCACCGGGCGTTATTAAAAGGGAGACCTGCAGGAAAGGTGTCCGAGCATGCAGACGAGGCAGGAGCACAACCCAGTACAGGCTGCTGGGGAAGCCAGGAGCTGCCTCTGTTTGTGTTTTACTTTGGCTCCTCTGTTAACTGCTCGTCCCACTCGGCCTGGGAAGGCGTTTAATGCAGACAAAAGGCATTTGCAGAAAAACAAGTCCTGGAGAGCTCTGGAAATTGCATTTTAACAGGACCCAATTTACACTCTGTGGTAATAACTGGCAGCTGGTTGTTTCCAGCCGGGAGCTGAATAACCCCAGTACACTCAGCATCCCAATTGATAGCTGTGATAGATACGTGTTTTTCAGCAGTCACCCCTTTGGAATAAGACATGTGCCAGTTTGTTTGACAACCTGCCACCAGCTGGCACACTGCAGGGGATTCTGGGCCCTTCTGATGGTTACTCATAGCCTGGTGTGGTCACATCAAATCAGGGACAGCCATTTGTGTGCAGGAGGCCATGAACATCCCCAGGAGCACTGCAGAAAGGTGTGACCCTGGGCTGGGTGTAGGCTCTGCCACCAAGCGTCCATCCTCCAATGGAGGCAGCTCTCTAGGGGGCCTGCAGCAGGTTGGCAGGGCTGACTGAGTCTCAGTAGGCACAAGAGCACACATCCCATTCATAACTGCCTCTGGCAGGTGCTGGGGGCGTGGTGGAGTTCTCGAGTGCTGATGATGGAGCAGGAAGACAGGAGCACTTCAAGACATGTGTTGGCTCCATCAGGGACTTGCTGTGGGTCACATGGTG